CTAGTTTTTACACTTGGAAAGTGGCACTTTTGTTCAGTGTAATATAAAATTGATCTCTGTTTGGATGTAAAACTAGTTTTTTTGTTGAAAAAATTAATTTTTTTAGTTTCAGAGGGTTTGAATTGACATTTTTGACTGTAGAAATAATAAAAAAAAGTCTTGTCGCTAATTTACATTATTTATAATGTAAAAAACGACAAGTCTTTTTTTGACACGCCCTAACAGAAAAATTTGAGTAATTTGTATTTTTTTCTAAAAGTACATTATCTCTCTTTCTAAATAGTCTGCTTTTTATGTCATTTTTTGTCCATTCAAAAGTTGAAGGGCCAAGAATCAGCCTAATTAAGTCAAAGTTGTGGCTTCATTTTCCAGTTTTGGCAAATGCAAAACATTGTTTCTTTGCTTGTAATGAGCTTGTATTTTAAATTTATGGGTTATTAAGGCTATATTTGGGTGAAGTAATGGCTTTTTGATAGGCTGCCCTGCCCTGCTCTGCCTTGCCTTGCCTTACTTTACTCTATCGTTTTCTACCCCTTTCTGTTCTTGTCCTGCCATACTTTGCTTTGTTTGCTCCCTCTCCCTGCCCTCCTCCTCCCCCGCCCCTTTTTTTTCCTCTTCTTCTCCCTTTCCTCTTACTATATTGCCCTTGCAACTCTTCTTAAGGCATTTAAAAACTAAAAAAACGTAAAAACAAGTGCAATCAGATTATAATAAACGTCTCCCTTGGGTGGGAAAAATCTTCGTTTTTTGGCCACGGATTTTGTTACTATCTCTCTTTTTTTGTTTACGGGCAATATAATAGTAAGATTGGGGTATTTACTGGCTGTTTTACATAGAAATAAGTATTTTTTGTTTTGTGAATTTTTTGTGATAATATTGATAATGTACACGGCTTAAATTTTTTAAATTTAAAAAAAAATTGGATTTGTAAACAAAGTTTTTACGTTTAATGCCTTGCCTTGCCTTGCTCGTTACTGAAATGCCTTGGCATATCCTTGCCGCTCATAGCCTATCCTAGCCTACCCTGCTTCGTACTGTCTTTCCTCGCCCTGCCTTGCTTAGCTCTGCCCTGCCGTTTGTTCTGTACTAGTTTGCCCCGGATTGCCCTAGCTTGCCATGGCCTATTCCAGCCCTGCCTTGCGTCTATCACAATATTGCATTTTTTAAATTCTTCAGATATAAAGGATGACTGCTGTGTCTCAATATTTCATGTTGTAGTTTCGTGTCAACCGACTGTCAATAACGACGAGCATTGTAAAAGAAAGAGATGTACAAATTAATACTCTTCTCTTTGTAAACAAAAAATAATTTTGTTTAATTTCCTTTTCAAATTGACAGCTGAGAAAAGGCAAAAACAAGCAAATATTGCCCATTTCAGAGGACGTTTTTATAATTTTCCGAATTTTTTGGGGTTTCTTTGAGTTTTTGGGCACTATTTTTGAATTTTTAGGTAACAATTTAATTCAAGGGCCATTTTATAATGGTTTTAAAGTCTTTATGCAAGAACTTTCTTTACAGTCGATTCTCAGTAAAAATATTGCAAATTTCAGAAACTTTTTTAAAAATTTTTTTGCTAAAATTTTCTTTACAAAATTAAAAACTTTTTTGTTAATTATTTTGTAAACAAAGTTATTGCCAATCAAAAATCCTGCACGGTGCAATCAAAAAAGCGCCCTTGTGTTTCGTTGCGCAGTGCGAAAACGCGCTCCCGTCCGATCTGGCAAGTTAAGCAACGGTGCGCTTGATAATTCGAGTCGGGTTCAAATCCGGGTGGAAACAAATGGCCATAACTTTGTTTACAGAGTAAATAGTAGTTTAAAATTTTGTCGGGGTGTTGAAAAGACATTAGAATTTGTAATTTTGAAACAGAATTGCATTTGTTTTGACATAAAAATTTTTTATGATAACTCAATGTCGTAAAATTCACAATAATTTTAGTTTTTTTGGCCTTTTGTGGATTTTTAAGCCTTTTAATGTCATTTTTAACTAACATTTTTAAAAATATAATAACTCATCAATTAGGTATTAAGATTGTTGACAATTCTGTTATTTCCGAACCGCATATTACTCTGGGAATTTATCGTTTTGACACGTCTATTATATATGTGCATATCATTTTAATGACCAAATTAATTTACTATTACTTTCATCGTATATTTTGATCAAATCTTCAATTCTTGTTTATACGGTTTGGAAATAAAATTTTTGCGTTTTTTATAAAGGTAAATAAATCTCAAGTCATTTTACTGAAATACCAAGATTTTTTAGAAAAACATACCATTTTTGTTTTGTAATGAAAGATTTTTCAATTTTTTCTTGTAAAGAAAGTTCTTGTCATTTTTTATGTTGTAAAGAAAGTTCTTGCCATTTTTAGTAGTGTAAAGAAAGTTCTTGCCATTTTTTTCTTATAAAGAATGCTCTAGCCATTTTAGTGTTGTAAGGAAAGTTCTTGCAATTTTAAAATTTTTGCGTTTTTGCTTTAAAACTGCACCGAGCAGACAATTAAAAGAAGCTTTGCACCGTGCAGTTTTCTTATTCCTTGCACTGTGCAGTCTTATAAATTTTTTGCACCGTGCAACCTTATTATTCCTTGCACAGTGCAACCGTATTATTTCTTGCACTGTGCAATCATATTATTCTTGCACTGTCCAGTCTAATAAATTCATGCACTGTGCACTCCTTTCGAACTTTTTTAAAACTAAATTTAAAACCAGACTCTTTTAATTAGCGGTGTTAATTATCGGATTTCTGTCGTTAACAGGAGATTACGTAGCGTTGGCAAAAATAACTTTGGCTTTTTCGTGGATTGTAATCTCTTTTTGGCATAATTTTAAGTCGAATATTGGCTTAATCAAGGTCGGCTTGTGGGTAAGGGGGGAGGAGGTGGCTTTTTTACTTTTTTTAACAATGTTATAACTATTTGTAATTATATTGACATTGGTTTTTGGTCGAGAGGGTTTGGATGTAAAAATGTGCAAAAATTAGGATTTTCGTGCAAAAACTTTGTTTACAACAAAAAATTTTGTTTAAAAGTTTATTAAAAGTTTAAAATGAAAAGAACTTTTTTTACAAAACAAAAAATGGCAAGGACTTTCTTTACAAAACCAGAAATGGCAAAAACTTTCTTTACAAAACAAAAAATGGCAAGAACATTCTTTACAATTTAAAAAGACGCAAAAACTTTCTTTACAAAGCATAAACTACATTGATATTTCCATATTAATCGTCCTTTTTAAGTGCTTTTTGAAGATTGTCATTATTGAAGACGATTATCTTCTTATTACAATTTCACTTCTTTGTTTTATTATATGTTACGTGGATGTGTTAGAAGTGGCATTCGGAGAAGTACTCGTATATATTGTTATTTTGCAAATTGGAATGTCCTTTGGGGTTTTGTAAAGAAAGTTCTTGCCATTTTTCGTTTTGTAAAGAAAGTTCTTGCAATTTTTTTTCTTTTAAAGGGACATTTTATACGATGCTAACGTTTCTATTATTAAGGTTTGTAAAGAAAGTGCTTGCCATTTTTACAATTTTAAGGCATTTTTTAGGCTTTGCAGCTTGCGAGGGGCGGAGGTTCACTATTTTACATTGCGTGTCAGAATGTAATACGTTAATTTTTGGTCGTTGACTCTACTATAATTACCTGTATGATAAATTGTAGTATAAAAGTGTACTTTTTCTTTCATTCAGAGTGTGTGCATTACTTCCTTTTTCCTTTTTGCTTGATTGCCAGCTTTGTTTTGTTCTAAATGCAGTGTTTTCAATAGCTCTTTTAATAAAAAATGTCATTTTATAGCTGTAAAGAAAGTTTTGGAGAATGATTTATCTTGGTAGAATTTTCTGGGGCGTATTTTACAAGATAATTTATATGGCATGATTTTTAGCTAAGTATATAGGTTCAAAAATGGCATAAATTTACAAAAAATTTCTAAAAATTGTGAAAATTTTGTATTTTTTAAAAACGTGTTAATTTTGAAATGCAATTTTGCCTTAAATATTTCCAAACTTTTTTTAACATTGTGACAAAACTTCAAGTCTCTCTCTACTCTTGTAAGCCAAGTTATGACTATTTGTTTCTGACCGGGTTCGAACCCGCCCCAAATAATCAAGTGCACCATGGCTTAACTTGCCAGATCGGACGGGAACGCGTTTTCGCACTGTGTTAGAAATAATAGGCGCGCTTTTTCTGTTTGAATCAGAAAATCGGCCAAAAAATTATAATTTTGACAAAATTAGAAGGTTTTTGATGTTTTACTTATATTATCCTTGTTTTCTGTGGTTAAAAACAGATTTTAAAGCTTACATAAGATAGTCTTCAACGTTTTTTTGAAGACTTTGTTTAGTTTTTTAGTTTTTCTATTAAAATTTTGGCCTTTTATGCTTTTTATCTCAATTTAGTTCTTTGCTTGCACTGTGCAGGTTTTTCGATTTGCAATAACTTTCTTTACAAACTTCTAAACGCTTTTAAATTTTGGAATAGAGTTTTGTATAGTATGTGCATGTTATATTAATTTTTTTGTCTTCTTTTTACCTAAAAAGTTGATGATTTTGGCGTTGCTTTGTTTTTTGCACCGTGCATGTTTTTTGATCCGCAATAACTTTGTTTACAAATTGTGAGAAACTTAAAACTTTGTAGTATGTTGTCATATTCTTTGAGGATGCTAAATTTCATTTTTTGGTCATTTGTTACCTAAAAAGGTTGGTTATTTTTGCGTTTATTCGTTTTTTGCACTGTGCAGTCGGTTTTTATCCTTAAAGACTCACTGTGCAGTATATTAATTTTTATTGTACTACGAGAAATGGCATGCACAATCGTATTTTACGTTATTTATTGTTTTTTAAAACTAATTTAAATTCTTTTTTAGATTTTTAAAATTATATTATACTACTTAATCAACCTCATCAAAAAATGCCAAGCCAACATTAAAATCAATCTAAAAACCTACAAATTAAGTCAAAACCCACCACTATGTTAGCACGGAACCGATGAGACGCCGAAAATGTTCACCGTGCTCACGTTGGCCACCCAGATTCTCAGCCACTTCAACGTGATCGCGCACACGTTGGAGCAGGCCAACAACTTTGGCTCGCATCAGAATCACATCAAACAGTTGAGGATACCTGGAGACCTGATCATTGGCGGAGTGTTCCCGGTGCACGCGAAGGGACCAGTTGGCGGTGGACCATGTGGGGAGATCAGCGAGACGAGGTAGGGGTTTTGGGAGGGGGAGATTAGATAACACAATTTTTTGGGCGCGGTAAAAAAATGTTTGGGCAGGGTAAAAAAAATTTTGGGCGGGGTAAAAAACAATTTTTTTTGGATGGGGCAAAAAAATTTTTTGGGCGTGGTAAAAAAAATTTTTTTTGGGCGTGATGAAAAAATAAAAATTTTGGCGGGGGGGGGGGATGTGAGATGAATTTTTTATCTTTCTTGTTTAGGAATGGTACGAAATGTAGTTAAGGTACTATAAGGCAATGCTTCTCGTATTTTACAAAAAAAAACTCTTTCAGAGGCGTTCACCGGGTGGAAGCAATGTTATACGCTCTGGACATTATCAACTCTCAACCGGACTTTCTCAGGGGATACAAACTTGTACCTTCTTTAAATGTTTTTAAGGGTAGAGCGGGGTAGAGTAGAGTAAAGATTGGCAGGATAAGTTGTTATAAATCTTGGTAGAGCAGGGCGTGGTAATTTTAAAAAGAGTAGGGATTGGTAAATTTAAGATAAGAAGGGCATGGTAAATATATTTGGGGTAGGGTTGGGTGGGGTAGTGTAGCGTAGGGTAGAGTAGAATAAACGTAGGATAGAGTAACTCAGGGCAGGATAAACTTTAAATTTTTAAAAATATTGTTGTAGGGTGCTCTAATACTCGACTCATGCTCAAACCCATCTTATGCGTTGAATCAAAGCTTGGACTTTGTTCGAGATATGATTGGATCAACAGACTCTTCGGAATATCAATGTGGCGATGGGTCTCAACCAGCTCTGCGAAATACACCGAAAAAGAAAGTTGTTGCCGTCGTTGGAGCGTCGTATTCGTCAGTTACTGTGCAGGTTAGTAATATTTTACTTGGTATTTAAAAATTTAAGTCTTTTTTAAAGTTTTAAAAGCGTACTTAAAAGAAATTTTGGGATTTTGTAAATTTAAGTTTGAAATTTTTTAAAATATTTTTTTTTGCACGGTGCAACTAAAAGACTTGATCATAATAGTACAATTTTAAATTTGTAAAATACGAAAATTTTTATATCATTATAAAAATTATTTTTACAAGACTTTTTGATTTTTCTGTAAAGAAAGTTATTGCAGTTTGAAAAATTTGCACGGTGCAGTCAAACTGCCATTATTAGTTATGACATTTTTTGATGTCGAAAACTGAAAAAATGTTTTAGGATGCTTTTTCATGCCATTTTCAATGTATTTTTAAAAATTTGGAGATTTTACTTTTATTGTAAACAAAGTTATTGCGGAAAGAAAAATCTGCACGGTGCAATAAATTTGCCAAATCAAGTTGACAGTTTTAAAGTAAGAAGCTAACAAGAAGGCCGTATTTTAACTAATGTAAAAATTTGAAAACAATAGTGCTTTCAGATAGCCAACCTGTTGAGGCTGTTTCGAATAGTGCAAGTTAGTCCAGCCAGTACGAACGCTGATTTGAGTGACAAAAGTCGGTTCGAATTCTTTGCACGGTGAGTTTTTTTACTATTTTTCTAAAGTTTATAGCTGGTTGTATGATCAATAAGTTTGTAGAAATTATGTTGTTACCTTCTCTTATGTTTACATTTAGTTAATCTAGTTTTTTGGGATCTTTCTAGGGACTTTTTGACCAAAAAACTTATTTTGTGGCTGTTTTTGGGCCTTTTTTAAGATAAAAATTGGAATTTGTCACCTAAATTACGAAAAAAGTTGTTTTTTTAAACACGGCTTTTCTAGGAACTTTGTGACCGAAAAATTGATTTCTTTTGGCTTTGTTAGGCGTTTTATATTCGAAAGAATTGAAATTTGTTACCTAAAATTAAAAAATAATTTAAATTTTTAAAAATATTGTTAGAAAATGGTCTTTCTACGTACTTTTTGACCAGAAAAGAGGCTTTTTTACTGTTTTTGGACTCTTTAAAGCTAAAAATTTGGCTTTTGTTACCTAAAATGTGAAATTTTTTTAAAAAGTTTTTAAAATTTTTAAAATCTTAAATTGTTCAGGACAGTCCCAAGTGACACCTACCAAGCCCGTGCGATGGGTGAGATCGCTGCCAAGTTCAATTGGACCTACGTTTCGTTAGTGTATTCGGCTGATGAATATGGAGAGTTAGGGGCTGATGCATTCAAGAAAGAGGCTAGAAAGCTGAGGATTTGTATTGCGACGGAAGAGAGGATATCAGTCAATGATGTGCCTTCAATCAAGGAGTCTGTGGGGAATTTGGTCAAAAAGTAAGGGGAACTTTAAGATATTGCTAGCAGGGAGGTTGCTTTAGATTTTTTTTTGAGGGGGGGGGGGGGAGGAGGATAGGGGTGGAAGTAAAAATGGGGGTAGGAGTGGAGGTAAGGGTAGGGGTAGTTTCAGGGGGGGGTAATAAAAAAATTAGGGTAGGAGTAGTTTTAGGGGCTAATAAAGAAAGTTGGGGTAGGGGTAGTTTCAGGGGGGGGTAATAAAGAAATTAGGAGTAGGTGTAGTTTTAAGGGTTGATAAAAAAAATTAGGGTAGGGTAGTTTTAGGGGGTAATGGAGAAAGTTAGAGTAGGGGCAGTTTTAGGGGGCGATAAAAAAATTGTGGTAGGGGTATTTCTAGGGCGTAATAAAGAAAGTTGGGGTAATTGTATCGGTAGGGGTAGGGCGGGGTAGAACTTGGGGTATGAGTAGGGGTAGACTCATTTTAAATTTTTCAGATTACAACCAGACAAAGACGTAGGAGCACGTGTAGTGGTACTTTTTGTGGGTACCGAATACATACCTATTTTGATGCAAACCACTGCCAATGAAATCAAAAAGTATGGTCATAACAAGAAGAATATCATATGGTAAGGGCTTCGGAATGACAAAATGAAAAAAAATGTAAAATACGTTTTGCTTTAAAATTTTAAATAAAATGAAAAATTTTTTTAAAATTGAAATTTGAGTAAATTGGCTTTGTTTTACACAGATTATTCAGGCTAGCCAGTGAGAGCTGGGATAGAAACAATGAAGCCTATACCTCTGGAGCCAGACGGCTGGCAGCTGAAGGAGCTATCGTTCTGATGCTAGAGTCACAACGAGTACCTAGCTTCGAGAATGTAAGTCTACCCCTACCCCTACCCTTAGTTCTACGTATACCCCTACCCCTACTCTTACCCCTAGTCTTACCCCTACTCTTAGTCCTATCCCTACCATTACTCCAACCCCTACTCCCACCCCTACCCCTGTGGTTACTCTTACTCCTACCTCTTTTTGCCGTTTCTTCTAACCTTAGTCGTACTTTAACCCTACTCCTATTCTTAATTTTATCTACATACCATCTTATCCTACCGTACGTTTGCCTACTGTACGGTAATGACCTCTTTATTTAGTACTACTTATCACTTTATCCGGGACAAGAAAAGTTCGAACGCAACAAGTGGTTGCGGGAGTTGTGGCGACGCAAATTTAATTGTGAATTCGATCTGCCAGATGACACTACTATCAACCGGTATGTTTTGGAGTTTCAAATTTTAAAATTTTCTTTAAATTGAAAAAAATTGAAAATCAATTTAATTTTTTTATTAAACTTTACATTTGGGACCGTATTTTACAAAAACTAACTATAATCCTTCAGATGTGAAGCTCAACGTGAATCCCGAGAAAGCTTCAATCCAGATGACAAAATTCAATTTGTCATCGAAGCGGTCTTTGCCATTGCTCATGGATTGCAGGTAAACTATAGCTATTTCAGTTGAATGTGTACCTTTCGTATTTTTTTTTAATTTAAAAAACATACATGGCAGTTTATGATAGATTATAAACGTTTTTTCAAAATCAATTGTTTTTGATATAACGCCAACAATGGCGGGAAAACAGTGTTTTGCCGGACCGGTCCGGATGAGAATTTTTTCGGTCCGGTCCGGCTCTATTTTTTTCGCTCAGGTCCGGTCCGGTCCGGACCAAAAAGGTCAGGTCCGGTCCGGAAAAAAAATTTTTTATTTTTAAAAAAAACCAAGAGCGCTAAAACTGCTTTCTTTACGTTTAAAAACTCTTAAAAATATGTTTTATTTGCAATTTTTAAACAGCTTTATTAAAATTAAAAAAAAAAAAATTTTTCCGGTCCGGTCCGGCTCTATTTTCTTTTGGTCCGGACCGGACGGGTTCGGCAAAACACTGCGGGAAAAGGTAAATTTGAATATTTTTTAAAATAAAATTTGTTTTCAAGGTTTTAAAAGCATTTTAATTACATTTTCGTTAATTACTTGCGGTATTTTGGCTAAAAACACTAAAAAAAAGTACTGAAAACACAATGCCAAAGTTGGCGGAAAAATCCAAATTTGAATTTTTAATTCAAGAAACTGTATTTTAATGACTAAAGAAGCTATTTTTTTAAATAAGTTTTGACTAGATGGCTTAAAATAATAACTTGAAACATTATGCCAAAGTTGGCGGGAAAATCCAAATTTGAATTTTTGAAAAATTTTGGATAGCAAAAATAAAAAGTAATATGTTGTTTTCAAGTTTAGTGATAGTAAAAAAATTGTTTGCGACTATTAAAACACCAAAATTACTACTTGAAACGTTATGCCAAACTTGGCGGGTAAATTTATATTTGAATTTTTAAATGTTTTATGGTGTTTTTACGAAAACCAAAGTTTAAGTATCGTATTTTACATTCAAAATCAATCAAAAAATTTTTAGGAGATGAAAAACGAGTACTGTAAACACGATTCAATCGAAACCTCATGGATATCGCGACATTCTGGTTTTCCCGAGATTTGTGCCGCCATGAGGCACATCGATGGAGCCGAATTCTACACAAAATACCTCTTAAATGTCACTTTTAACGATTTGGTAGGAAGACAAGTTCATTTCAGTCCGGAAGGTGATGGACCAGCTCATTACACAATTTTGAACTATCAACCAGATAGACAACAGAAGGCTGGTGGCAGAACAAGCAATGACTATGTTGAGGTTGGAAGGTGGTCGGAGAGAAAGGTAAAATACGACCTTGACATATTCATTTTTTATAGAGAATATTAAAAAACTTTAAAAATTTTAAAAAAATTTAAAAAACTAAAAAAAAATAAATTTTGCACGGTGCAAACAAAAGTCATAATCAATTTTTTATTGACTTTCCATTATAGAAATAGCTAAAAAAATTGTTGAGAATAGTGTTGATGGTACTTAAAAACAGTACAGAAACTTTTGTATAAATAATCATTTAAAAAAATTCTCTTTTCCACTTTTTTAAAAACTTGCACCGTGCAGTCAAAACACAGATCATGGTTTATCAATTTTTTTTCAAAAAAGCTAAAAATTTTAAATATTGATGCTACTAGGGCTGTGAAACAGTACAAAAAATGTGGTGTTGGTATCCAGTGCCGGGCGAGGACTTTTGGTCTGGGGGCGGGGGTCGAAAAAATCGGCACAGGTAGGCTACCTGTGCCGATCGGTAGCTGGTTTCCGAAAAAATCACGGTGCGGTTAAAATTTTGAGAAAACGTAAATCTGCCTATATCCCTACTTCTCTCACTATTTCTACCTTTATCCTTAACTCAGCTTTTGCCCCCTTCCTTATCTCTAACTTTATTTTTACCTCTACCTCGTACTCCTAAAAGTTTATTTTTTAGTTAGAAATCAACCACAATGCCATGTTCTGGGCCTCGGAAGAAGGTGGTACCATACCCATATCTCAATGTAGTATGCCCTGTCCCTTGGGCTACAAGAAGCAGTTGATCAAGTCGGATGAGGTGTGTTGTTGGGCGTGTGGAAAGTGCGAAGACTATGAATACCTTATCAATGAGACTACCTGCATGGACTGTGGGCAGGGTAGATGGCCGAAGCCGGATCGGAAGTCTTGCTTCGACCTCAAGGACCGTCACCTTCGCTACATGAAGTGGAACACCTACTTCTCGATAGTACCGTGCATATTCGCTGTCATTGGGATTACTGTAACATTGTTTGTCATCGCATGTTATGTGGTATACAATGACACGCCAGTGGTCAAGGCCTCAGGTAGAGAGCTGTCTTATATATTGTTGATCAGCTTGATCATGTGTTACTCAATGACATTCGTCTTGATATCTCCACCTACTACGTTTGTTTGTGCTATGAAAAGAACTGGTAAGTTTATATCTGATTTGGAGAGAACTTTCTTTACAAAACAAAAAATGGCAAGAACTTTCTTTACAAAACAAAAAATTGCAAGACTTTCCTTACAAAGCGTCAAATGTCAGAAACTTTCTTTACAGATCATAAAATGACAAGAACGTTCTTTACAAAACAGAAAAACGTAAATTATGGCTTATCATATAACTTGTCATCCGCAGGCTGCAACTCTCAGAACCAGTATAAATTCTCACTTTCTTCGTATTTTAGGTATTGGGTTCGCCTTCTCAGTACTGTACTCAGCACTACTAGTCAAGACTAATCGCATACATCGTATCTTTTCATCAGCCACGAGATCAGCCAAACGACCAGCCTGTATATCACCATCCAGCCAGATAGTATTAACCTGTATCTTGGCTGGAGTACAATTAGTAGGCTCCATCTTCTGGTTGTTCATAGTACCACCGGGTACTCGGATTGACCATCCGACTCGGGATCAAGTGGTACTGACATGTAATGTACCAGACCATCACTTTTTGTACTCTTTGGCTTATGATGGTGCACTTTTGGTAACGTGCACCGTGTTTGCAGTTATGACAAGAAAAGTACCAGAAAACTTTAATGAAACAAAGTTTGTGGGCTTCAGTATGTACACTACCTGTGTCATATGGGTCTCCTGGATCGCGTTTTTCTTTGGAACTGCTAATAATTTTGAGGTAAGGCTTGAGGGTGGCGAAAAGGTGCGACAAATTTTGGTCGGACGGGGTATGAATGGTTTTTTAGGGCAGGGTAGAAAAAATTTATCAAGGTGGGTTCTCGTGAAGACAAGGTAATGTAGAATATCAGAGTAAGGTAGGGTAGGGTAGAGCAGGCTAAGATAGAATAGAATCGTTTTATAATTGTAAAATACGATTTACGATTCATACATTTTATATCTTTTCAGATCCAAACCACATCCTTATGCATATCAATATCAATGTCGGCCAATGTGGTGTTGGCTTGTATATTTTCACCGAAACTATGGATAATATTTTTTGAAAAACACAAAAATAAGCCTGAAGGTTTTGAAAATAGTGTTCATCGGAAATGGCAGTCAAAGTGGGTTTTTTAAAGAATTTTTGAATTTTAAAAAATTTTTTGATGCAATTTTTATGTTTTTTCGTTTTAAAAAAGGATTGTCGTTTTTGTAGTCCAAAACTAATGTAAATTGACGACAAAACTATTTTAAAGTAAATCTTTAAACTTACGTACGACTGAATTGCTACAAACTTATGTACGGGCGAATTGCTAGCGACTTGTGTACGGGCGAATTGCCTAAGTCATTTTTTGTCATTTTTTAACTGAAAATTGTTGAAAAATACCTTTTTCAGCTACAACTCGATCGCGCGCCACAACACAATGAATCACAACAACAATAATAATGTAAATAATCAACGAGATACCTCAAACACGTCGACGGAAAAGGAAGATCCGGATGTTTACACGAGCCTCCTTTCGAACCAACGCCGTCGCAGTAGCCGGAAACAGCAGTCGGAGAAGGACAGTACAAGTACAATCAATGCCCATGATACGTTTCTCTAGTCAATAAATCTATTTATTATTGATTCGGGTGATTGAAATGGTTTTGGATTATGAATTTCAGTTTTATGCTTCAATTTTACATTGTTGTAGGGTAAATGTTGGAGTTGAAGTAATCTAGTTCATCTTGAGTTTATATTATCATAGGTAAGCACTTCCTTCTATTAGTTTTTACTTAATTTTCCGTGCTTTTATTCCTTCACTTTCATCAAATCTTTCAATAACATTTAAAAACAACGAGTTTATTCTACATTTAAAAGGATATAACCTTACAACAATTTAAAATTGGACAATATGAAGAATATTACACAAATTGTATTACAATTGTTAGATCATTGAAACAAGAAACAATTCAAAAAATATCAGAATGAAACATAGAAACTTGTAGTAAAAATAGTGCCATCGATAGGTTTTGATTCCACTTTGAACTCTTTGCCATCACTTGAACATCCAAAAGGAACATCAACAGTACAGTCAGTCATACCAAACTTCAGTTCTTTAAAAGAGCTCTTATTCGAATCAAAATAAAACCGATATTTAAGATTGGAATAGCTGTTCTGTAAAATCAATCGAAACTTTGTCTGTCCATACAAATTTTCTAATCTTCTGTCATATTTTGAAAAATCTACTTCGACCAATTTGTAGTACAATTCAGATTTCTGTTAAACTTCTGAAATCTGGGTTTCGTATCCACAAAAATTCAATTAACCCATCTCATAGCATTTTAATGCCAAGTAAGGTAAATCCAGTCGTTTTGACATAACCAGAGAATCGCACGCCAGATCAAGAGTTAGATTTTGTACGATTAGATATTCACATTGAAGCTGAAATGTAATCCATAAGTTTAACGCCGTAAAAGATGTCTTTTAGAATATATATATATATATATATATATATTATACAGTTCCTAAAGAATATATTACCAAACTATGTCAAATGTCAACCTAAATGCCAACGCTTACTTTCAAAAGTTCAATACCATATCTATGAGCAAGCTGAATCACTTTCATCGCCAAATTCAAATCCTCGATTTTCTTGTCGCCATAAATGAAGAATAACATCGCCTCAACGGCTTCTTCATCATCGTGCAAAACCAACTGACCCTCATGAGTTTCTTTCATTCCAGATTCAAACATCTTCTTAAAAACTTCTGATTTCATGGATAAGAAACTTTTAGATACCTATAAAAAGACTCTTTAGCAAATATTTTAAAGTTTTTGTCCCCTATAAAATTGAAATAACTTTTTCAGAATTTTTTAGAAAATATATTTTAGTCTATTCTTCAAAAATCGAAAGAAACACAGTTAGATCTTCCAAACAAAGTTCAATTTAATGATGAACAATATACTTCCTCGATTTACTTGAAAAACCTAAATTCCGAACAAAAAATAAATAAACCTTACATAAAAAGTTCGTTTGCCAACTATTATTCTAAAATCACTGAGAGATTGATTGTCCAATAGCTCCAGACGATGAGGTACTTCGACGATTTTGGACACTTGAACTGAAAGGATAATATAATTAGCAATAAAAAGATAAACAGTGTGAAAATTACTTAGAATAACGCCTCTAAAAAGTCAACCATAGCAAGAAAATTTAAAACGCATCTTGAAATTTGGTAAACTTTGAAAAAATATAATTTTAGGTAACACTTTCACTAAAAATAATAAAAAGTTGGATAAAACGTTGAATTTAGCATATATATATCCTTTTATATCTATATTAATCTTTGCAACACTAAAATTAAAAAGAAAGGTCAAAAGACTTACTTCTGAGCCAATTAATATGACGTTGAACTTGTTCGTGACGTGACTTGATCAATTCCGGATCCATTGATGAACTAATCTTCTGAAAGTAAATGGCTACCTTAAAAAACTGTTATAACTTCATTATTTTTAACTAAAATAAAAGTTAAAACAGCTTAATTATCATAAAAAGTACAATAAATCTGCCTAAAACACTAAAATTTATTCTTCAAATTTCGAAACGAAAATCTTCCGTAAAATTTTAAACCGCAGCTTGCAGGAGTGAGGGCGCAGCTTCAACATAACAAACACGCTGCAAAATTGTTGCCCAAAGCATATGTCATAAAAAATGTTATTTGAGTATATCTTTGACATATATTCTGATTTTCGTTTTACCGCACTGAATAGCACTTTGAGTATAAACGATTTACAAAGCCATGTTTTGCTTTTGTAAAAAAGTTTTTCTCATTTTTTGATTTGTAAAAAAAGTTCTTAGTTTTTTTTTGATTTGTAAGGAGTTATTGCCTTTTATGCGTTGTAATGAAAATTCTTGTTATTTTCTGTTTTGTAAAGAAAGTTTTTGTAAAGAATGGTCTTGCCCCTTTTTATTTTGTAAAGAAAGTTCTTGCTATATTTTGCTTCGTAACGAATGTTTTTGCTATTTTTCGCTTTGTAAAGACAGTTTTTGCTATTTTTTGCTTTGTAAAGAAAGTTCTTGTCATTGTCCATTTTGTAAAGAAAGTTTTTGCGATTTTACACTAATTAACTCCTAGAAGCCTAAGATTTTTTTAATTACGCCTAAAACTTTTCGTCAAGATTTCAAAAATCTTCGTTGCAAAACGTTCTATCCATTTTCGAAAACGATTCTATTCCAAAACGTTATGATTCGTTTTCAATTGTTCCATGATCAATATCATTTGCGCCCGAAATTTGACCCACCTTTTGCCGGCGCGCACCTTTTATGCCCTGCGGAACGCGAAATCGAAAAGCGGATCCGTTTGTGGATATTCGAGAGAAATTCGAAAAGCTCACTGTGTGTGGGTAGAGAGAGAGGAAAAGATGGAAAGAGTTTGGGGTACCTGCCAGTTTGGATGAATAATTTTTATTTTTTTTGTTGTTGTGATCATCTTTGATTAATGAGTATGTTAATATCATGATTTTTCTGGCTCATTAGAGCTGAGTTGTATAAAAAATTGGTGTATGAGGGGGTGGTATTTTTTTAAATTATTTTTTGGAAAAAAGTTGAACGTGGTCCCCCCCCCCTGTGTAGATTTTCAAAAAAAAAATTATAAATAAAAAAATTTTTTTACCATGCCCTCATCAGCCTAACATTTTTGGACCAACATTAGCACAAAGTTACACTATATTTATAAGTTCAAGCTCTTAATAGTTATATAAAGGTAATACAAAAGTCTTGTCGCCAGTTTACATTACTTTTAGTGGTGAAAAACTACAAACCTTTTTTAAATCTTAAAATTTTATATAGAAGTCCAAAACAATAAAAGTACGGTTATACTGCCATTTTTAATGTTACAGTGAAAAAATTTGACGTTTTCTTTAGGCACTAGGGCTTCAAAAAAAGTTTTGTCGTTTTTCACCATTAAAATCAATGGTAATTGACGCCAAAACTTTTTCACCAACTTTATATCTTCTTAAACTTCCTGATCGCCTTATCTTTGAAGAAAAGTTTCAGAATCTTCACAGAATCTTCAAAAATCTTCGTTTTCTCTAACTTATGCCATCTGTCTATACCTTTATATCTGTTTCTTTAAAAGATTTGTAAAACCTTCATCCCGAAGATATCTCACCATACCTTTATTTGAATTAGCCGATTGACCCACCCCTTCTCGCGGCGAAAAGTGGGTAACCTGAAGATTTTCGGGAGGAGATCCAGGAAGACGCCTTCAGCACAACATAAAGCCGTCTCGGCAAGCCGGTGGATCTTATTTAATTGAGTCGTGTTGCAGTGAATGGTCGAAAGTGAATCTTCAATTTTTGGAGGGTAGAGTAGTGCAGGATAATTGAAGGTCGGTTTTGAGATAGGGCAAGGTAGGGTAGATAAGAGACGGTTTTAAGATAAAAGCAGGGTAGATGAGAGTTGGCTGTAAGATAAGGCAGGGCAAGGTAGATGACAGTTGGTTCACTAAGGAAAGAATGGGGCAGGTTAGAGACTAAGGAAGAATGGGGCAGGTTAGAGTAGAGGTAATTTTAAAACAGGCAATGCTATTCTAGAGGGCCACAAGGCAAGATAAACTAGATTAATGTCGGTTTTAGGGGCGAAGTAGGCCAGAGTAGAGTAAAATTTATTTTAGGGTAGGGAAATGGTAGAGTAGAGCACGGCAAAACAGGGTAGGGTAGGTCATTTAGAGGTAGGGTAGAATAAAGCCGGTTTTAAGGGTAAGGTATGGTAATGTAAGGTAGAGCAGAGTGAGGCATGGTAAAAAGGTACGCTAAGTTAGCATAGAGAAAACTTCAAAGTGTGATCAGAAAGAGTTGGTTTTTTAACATTTTTAAATGTTTTATGATCAGTATTAATAATTTTTGCGTGATTTTTATATTTTTCCCTATATTTTTTTCTTCTTTAGCTTTACTTTCATCTTTTTCTTTTAGATTTTCATAGTTTTTTGATTTTATTTTTGTACACTACCTATTACTATAATATCATTTTGTTAAGATAGCTTACGATAATATTACTCAAAGCCCTACTTTTTATAATTTTTTAACCTAAGAACCTCTATTTTTTAAATTTTTAAGCCTCTAATCCTTTGTCAAGCCTAAAAAATTTTGATTTTTGGTTTTTAAGCCAATCATACTTTTCCGCCAGTTTTAGCCTATAAATTGTTATTTTTTATCTTGTTAGCATCATATAAACCTTAGCTTTCCAACACTATTAGCCTATAGACCTTAATCCTTAACCATTTCAGCCAAAATGCGTAGCGCGACAACGCTACTCCTAGCCGCTCTGGCTTTATCGGCCGTCGCCCAGAACTCGGACGAAACAGTAGTGGTACGTCTGGAGCCCCAACGCGCCTCGGCCCAAATCCCTCGTGCTATGGAGCCAGCACAAACGCCACTATCATCCCCAGTACATCAACGTCAAATGCCACCCACAGCCCAACAGCCACGGTCAGTACCTCAAGTACCAGCTCAGGTACCACAGGGTGTACCACAGAGTGCTCTAGGACAGACGATTCAAGTCCCACAGCAAGTACCAGCTCAGCCAGCCGACCAAGTTCGTCAGGTTCATACTGTAGCCTCGCCTCCAGGCATTCGTGCTCAGAGCCCCAATCTGACGCCATCCGGATTGAACGGTCAACAGGAATTCACGCCCCGAGACAACGCCGTTCCTCCACAAGCTCCACCGATGAACATCCCACCAGATGTTCAGAACCAGCTGATCAAATTCTTTGGCTTGGACTCGTTCGGCATCCCTGGACTGACTGGCAACCATCCTAATGGATTCGCTGGTGCTGTACAGGTAAGGAGAATTTAAAGAATGGCAAGAACTTTCTTTACAATCCAGAGAATGACAAAAACTTTCTTTACAGGAAATGCGCGCCGCCGGAATCCCACTCCAAGGCCTTCCGCTGGACCACGTAGCCGGTCAGCCAGTCCCAGCCGGTGCCAACCCACAACAAGATCTGTTGGCCCAAGCGAACCCCAGCTTTGGCATGAACAATATCATGAACGACGCCTCCAACGTGCCACACTCGGCCGCTTCCATCCCCCTCCCAGACGCCAAGCCAGGAGAGAACGGTCTGATCGGCCTTTTGAGTTCCAGCATTCGGAAGCTAGTCAAGGATTCTGGAGTGGCCGATGCCTTGGCTCAAGGTCTACCTAATGTTTTGGGTACCAACACTCCAGCTCAAGGTACTCCAACCTCAAGTGCTACCGCCGCCAAGTCTTTTAGTCAGGACGAGATCCCTATGTCAGCTGCTAGCCCAGATGTCGCTGTTAGTGCCAGCAGCGGCGCTGTTAATGCTGGTGGAGTACGTCGTCAACAATCCACGGCCGAACGTGCTTTGAGTGGCTTTGCCGCGGCGTTGGGCGGCGGAGGCCAAAACGGCCCATCACACGCTGGTCTGCCTCGTATTCCTGGACTGCCAATCTTGCCCGGAGGTATTCCACGTAACGCCCAAGGTCAAATCGATGTAGTCAACCTTATTGGCTCTATTACTCGTCGTGTCTCGAACGGTACCACTTTGGCCGATGTTCTGCCACCAGAGCAGCTCCAAACGCTAGCCGATAACGTGACTGATGCTCTGTTGCCAGCCACGCCAGAAGACTTTGACTTGAACAAGTTCATGGGCCGTTGGTTCGAAGGTATCAACTCGCCGAGATCCACCGAACAAAGATGTATCGTGCATCACTATGGAGGTCTGACCAAGAACGACAAGACTGCCACTTTCACTGCACTGAAGATCTACAGAGAGGGATCTGAGTTTGGATCGGTTAGGTACTCGATTGGTTACGCTTTCCGTGCTGGAAACAAGGATGCCATGTTGCAGTTGCATAGCAGCGAGAACAGTGATGCTCAGCCTTGTAAGTTTAGTTTGTAGCACAGATAATGGCAAGAACTTTCTTTAAAAAGCAAAAGATTGCAAAAACTTTCTGTAAAATCCATAAATTAGCAAGAACTATCTTTACAAGACAAAAAATGGCAAGAACTTTCTTTACAAATTAATTTTCATCAATTTTTCAGTCTGGGTCTACAAACTAGGACCAGAAGGAACGGATCCATTCGGCAACAAGCAATACGAGTACGCCATCGTGTCCAACTGGGTCAAGTACCCAGTCACCGTGCTGGTCCGTGACCCCGACTCCTTCAAACAAAAGTACGAGATCGAGGTGCTGCGATGGCTCGAGGACCAAGGCTTCATCAACGGCTTCGTGCGCGCCTTCAACCTGCTTCAACCCGCCTCGTACTCGTCGTGCCAGTACGCCGAGAACACGTTCGAATTGTTCGGAAAGAAGTGAATGATCTAACCCCCACCTCTCCAATCATGTACATCTCAGTTTTTATCGCGTTTTGTTACCTATTTTTAAATCCGAAGAAAGAGTGTTAGTTATACAATGAGTTTAGATTGTATTCGTACTATATGGTATTAATAATCAATAATAAACCTTAATAAAATTTGGTTTTTGATGATCTATATGGAAAAAAAATTTAGCCATTTTTGGCTTTGTAAAGAAAGTTCTTTCCATTTCTTTACCAGTTTCCTTTACACTGTGCAGGTTGCGGGTGACAAGTTATACGATAGATAATTTTTTTGTTTTGCAAAGAAAGTTTTTGTCATTTTTGGTTTTGTAAAGAAAGTTTTTGCCATTGTTTGTTTTGTAAAGAAAGTTTTTGCCATCTTTTGTTCTGCAAAGAAAGTTCTTGCCAGTTTTTGTTTTGTAAAGAAAGTTCGTGCCATTTTTCGTTTTGTAAAGAAAGTTCTTGCCATTTTTTGCTTTGTAAAGTAAGTTTTGGCCATTTTTTTGTTCTGTAAAGAAAGTTCACGCCATTTTTTAATCTTAATTTTTTCAAAATTTCAAATTGTAAACAAAATTCCTTCAGACGTCTGATCGACCGAAATTCCATCCCAAAATCCAATAAAATTTGGGATGATGTCTTGATTTATTGTGCTTTCTCTCGAGATGTTCATCTTTCTCTTTCGATTTCACTCATCCGTCGATCCTGACCCAAATTGCTACTTTCAGATATATCACAGTCGGTCATCGAAAGAATGACGTTCTGGAAGGGTTTTGGAATGTCACCAACATTTGAAAAGGCTTATATTATCATCAATGTACTGTAGAACTTCTGTATAACGAACTCCTCGATAACGAAACCTCTGTATAACAAGCAACTTTTGAATTCCCGCTAACACTACACAGTGCATTTAGAACTCCTGTATACCGAAATTCCTTTATAACTAACAAATTTAAAACCCTCGAGCAATTCGTTATACAAGGTTTCTAGTATATAAACAAAGAATAGTCTGACTGAAAATGACATTTTGAATAATAATAGTGATAAAAAAGTCATTTTTGTAAGTAACATCAATATAAAATGTCACTTTTCTCAAAATATCCATTCTAAACCTTAAATTTGAATAGAAAATCAGTTTTGCAGCCCGCGCCCGAAGAAAAATTGTATTTTGCGGCCTGCGTTTTTAAAAATGCGTGAGATAGAAATTAAAGTTGTGAAATTTTTTCATTTGTAATTTACTTATATTACGTTATGTCATTTTTGATTCACCGTCATTAACTTATTTTTCAAAATCCCTTCTCATAACATATTATCATAGCTTCATACCAACAGTTAATGAGCGATAACACTGTTGCAAATCGCTATACCTTGCGTGCCATCTGTTAAAAGTCATCCGAAGCTGGGTCAGGATCCGTCCGTAAAAGGGAAAAGCGAGAAAATTCGAAAAAATAGAGGATTCAGATCCCGAAAATCTCTTCACAAAATATCAATCGCGTGCCGTTTTATGGTTACTTTAACCTGCGACTAAATTTACTTTCTAGCAACTTGGGGTTTAATAGGCTATTTTATAACTATTGTTAAGCTTAGCTTGAATTTATTAAGTTAATATGCCTTTTTATAATTGTTAGGCTTCGCGTTAATTTAGGCTTAAATAGGAAATTTTGTAAATATTGTTAGGCTTAGCGTTAATTAAGGCTTAAATAGGCAATTTTGTAAATATTGTTAGGCTTAGCTTTGATTTAGGGTATAATTGTCTATCTTATAACAATTTTTAAGCTTAGCTTGTTTTTAATTTGAATTGTTACCTAAAATGTTTTTTTATAAAATGTCACCTAAAAAACTGTTTTTCGTGTAATATCTTACCTAAAAAGATGTTTTATCTAGTTGATGCCGTTTTTAAAACTACCTAGAAAATACAAAAAAAATCCACTTTTTTTTGTAAATTACGAAATTCCATTAAGTGAAATCCTTATTAATTTATAAAACTTCAGACAAATTTGGAAAATGAAAACGATATCAGTGTTAATAGCCCTATTGCCATTGAGTGTTATGGGTATTGGAGAGAATCCGGTAAGCTTTTCATTCCTCTGCCATTTTAAACATTATTTCTTTTCTATTCTTATATAAATAACGTAATTTTAAAATATTATAAAGGCCGTATTTTATTCAAAAATTCAAATTTAAGCCCAAATTCTAAAAAATGCGTCATTGTTTGTAATGTTTTTAGATGGACCTCCAAACAATGGCGGGAGTAATCACTGGTATTGGGCACATGTTACAGACTACAGTTGACACCCTGGATGTGCCCACAGAGTTGATCATGGGCCGATGGTATCAGGTGTATAAGGCGGCTGTTAACTTTGACATGTACCGTAATCAAATGTACTGTCCTATTGCTTACTGTAAGTTTTTAAAACAAATATTTCGATGCTTAAAAAGTTACCGTAAGCTATTGAAATTTGCCATGGGAATTACTTTAGTATCAGTTTTACGTTAAAGTTGTGCATAATGACACGTTTAAAGAAGTCACGATCACACATTCAATCAAGTCACAATGACACATTAAACAAGTCAACTTGACACTTTCATAATGACGAACCAAGCTGTCATGCTAACATAAAAAATAAAAAAATCATTTTTCAGTCAAAGAAAACCGTGTAATGGGTGAAGACGGCTTCTCAATTGAGGAAGCCTACAGAGTACACACCAAGAACGGACCGATTGAAACCTACAAACGTGACTTGAACAAGGTCGGAACTGGAAAATACTGGATGTACACTGAAGAATACTTCTATCCAAGACAATGTAAGTTCATTTTTAAAACAAATGGCAAGCACTTTCTTTACAAAACTCAAAAAAGGGAATGCGCCGTATAAAATGTCCCCGCAGCCTGCACAGTGCGTAACTTTTTAGTTTCGTCGTAAAATTGACAAGAACTTACAAAATGAATAATCACAAGAACTTTCTTTACAAAACTAAAGATGGCATGAACTTTCTTTACAAGATCAAAAATGTAAAATTTTAACCTATGCCAATTCACCCAACAAAATCATAATTATGTACCTTTTCAGTCTACATCATCAAAGCCGGCCCCAACTTTGACAACGAAACTAAGCCAGAAGAAGCCAAAATCGAATATATTGTGGTAACCGACGCCTCACGAATGGGACTAATGGTCTACGCTCGCGATCCAATGACCTTTTATCAACAATACAACAAAGAAGTTACCGATTTCCTGGAAGAAGCCGGCTTCGGCGGTCGAATCTTCTGGAACTCACCCCGACCAATCTACCAGGGTCCAGACTGTGAATGGCCGACTGAGAAGGAGGTGTTCGCCAGAAGAGTGCTCAAGAACCACGAGAACAACATGAGACAACAGAACTCAAACGCCACTGAGCCTGGACCAAATGCCTTCGCTGATATGCTAAAGAATCCTGAAGTTATTCTACAAAAGTTGGTTCAAATGCACTAAAGTTACATAGATTTGGTCGGATTGGAGGTCAAAAAGGATCTTTATGGCAAGATGTATAATATCCACAGCTTCTTATAGCCTTATTTATCTTGTCAACGGCTTCTTTCAGCCTTATTTGTCTTGTCTACGACCATTTTTAAAGTACACATGCCTCTTTATGGTCTTATACACCCTATTATTAGAGCAATTAGCCAGTTTACAACCTAATTCATGTAAAACTGTCTTAAACGATAAATCGTTGTAATAATCTCAATATTTACCAAACAATAAGACCTACATCAATATAACCATAAGGTTTTGAGTACTATAAATTACTCTTTTCCTTTGAGTACTATAATATATATTATCCCCAAGTCTTCAGTATCATCTTTTATGAACACTATTATTAACCCTAAAGCCACCCAAAATGTCACGAATCCTATATATATGGTCCAAAAAAGCTCACATTCCACTGTAAATTTAATTTTGAAACTAATAAATAATAATAAGCACGTTTCTTTACTGATTACTACCTACTTTAATATAAGAGACGTATCAAAAAAAGAGCAACAGCCTTTGCAAACTTCAAGAACAATTGCCAGACCTAAAAACCAAAAGAAAACGATAAAGTCATACCTAATCATACATAATATCCGGAGAAGCTTCAATATAATATTTTTTATCAAACACTATGTAATTTTAATAAAAATGGCAGCAAAACAAGGAAGGACAATTCAAAAATATTGAAAAACACAAAACATCCAGGAATTACGTCACGTTTCGTCCATAAAACGAGTCATCAAAAGGTTTTTCGACGATTATTTGTTGAAATTTTTGGAAACTTGTCCGAATTGGTCAGAATCTAACAATATTCTTCATATTTATCTAACAATTTTCCTCTGTTTTGATTTCTTTTCGTAAAATGAGCAATCAAAACTTGATAAATGCCAATAATCAAATGGTTCAGCAAAGAATCAATGAACTGAACGGTAAGTTGTTATAATTTATGAATTGTGTTAGAGGTAATGTAGATTGTGTTAGAGGTAATATAAAGATTGGTGTGAGGGTTAATTGTTGTAGGATAACATGGTTTTCGTTTAACACTTATGGCTTTTCTGTTTACGCTTAAGGCGTTTCTGTTTTGTTTAACTTACATTCGAAAATGTTCATTGGATAATATGACTTCTTTCAGAGCGTGTTTCCTTGATTGTCGAGAACCCGGAGGACAACAAGGTGTTCAATGACCCTAACTTTTGTGACTACAAGGTTAAAACGGATGCGAAAACATTTTACGTTAGTTATTTTTGTTTGTTTTTTATTTTTAGGTATGATCATGGATGTTTTAGTCCAATTTTAATGATTTCAGTTATTTTGGATGTTTCCTATTTTCTAATAGTTAACTTGACTGTTTCTTAATGCTTAAACTTAACAACAACATTATTCTTCCTATTTTAGGCATCAAAACTCATGTTGGCACAGAAATCAAACGTTTTCAAGGCAATGTTCACATCGGGAATGCAAGAATCGCAAGGAGAACTTGTGATGGGAGACGATGCGGATGCAGTGGAAGCAATGCTTTTGTTCATTCATCAGAATACATAGCTTCAGAACCTAGATCTGGCGATGAAAGTCATTCAACTAGCTCACCGTTATGAGATTACGCTTCTTAAGGCAAGGTTTTTAAAATTGTAAATGATAATTTTTTGTTATCTTTGTCACAAAGAAAATATATTTTTACTTTCTTAGACTTTTTGTTTCAGATGCATTGTGAGCTATATTTGCTGAAAAATATGGATATTGATCACGCTGAAGAATGTCTTTTGTTGGCCAGGAAGCTGGACATGGACATATTGGCCTTCAACTGTCTGGGAAAGTTCTATTTCAACTTCAGAATGTCCGATCTTGCCATTAAAAGCAATGAACAGAAAATAGTGAATACGGATGACATGGAGGACATCAAGATCATCAAAGAAGTGATGATAACAGACCCCATTGACATGATAGAGATTCCTGAATTGATACTGAATGGTGAAACAAAGTTTTTGTTGCGTTTTGAGAACATAACAACTAAAAATTTGGATGTTAAATATGGAATTTACAATAGTTATGGGATAGTAAACTGCCATTCTCAAAACATTTATGCTTTTGATTCACATGCGTGGATGATCGAGGAAAACATGTGGGAGAAGGTACCTACATACTCTGGACACTTTTCTATAAATGTACAAATTATTGATGCTGGAAGAGAGTTTTCACACAGGTTCTATGTATACATTTAGTTCAAGAGCTAATTCAAATTAGTGTTGGGCGAGGAAGGGGGTACACTTTTTCATACATAAATTAACAAGGGGCTTCTTTTGGAAAACAATTTCAAAGGGGGGGGGGGTTAAAAATCAATGTTTTTAAAACTTTTATATTATGTTTTGTTTCTCAATATAATATATAATATTATTGTTGTTTTATTCATAGAAAAATAAAATTGAACTTCGTTGTCATTTTCAAGTGGTTGACTTGATGTTTACATTTAGTTAAAGTCGAAGTGAATGAAATTTTTTGCAAATTTCATTACAAATTCCTTTAAAAAAAGAAAATGCAAAAAATTTCTTCACAAAACAAAAAATGGCAAGAACTTTCTTTACAAATCAAAAAATGGCAAGAACTTTATTTACGAATCAAAAATGACACGAATTTTGTTCTTACTATAAAGCACAGTTATTGAAAAGCGAAAATATACTTTAATAAAAATACTTCCTACATCAAATAAATACAATATTACATACTATTGAATCATAAATACAAACTTATATTGAGATCCACAAAAACTGGTCGATTTCCTGGTTTTCGTTTGGTTTTGAGCCATGAAATTTGACCAACCCATCCTCCAACTTGATATCATTGAAACTGAACCGTAATAAAGCTGTCGTTTCTTGTTCATGGGCAACTGACAACCAGTCTGATATGATTTTCATTGGCCATTTAGCTATTGGTGACAAGCTAGAAGAATAAAGCGCATTCAAGGCGTTTTGTCGCATTTCTGATATTGAGGATGACAGGGCGTATCTAAAATTACAAAATATGAGTTGTAAAGAAAGTTCTTGCCGTTTTTTGGTTTTTAAAGAAAGTTTTTGTATTTTTTGTTTTGTAAAGAAAGTTCTTGCGCTTTCTAATTTTGTAAAGAGTTCTTGCTATTTTTTCATACATTGCTTTAAGACATGAAAAATGACAAAACGTACCGATATAACTCTTCAAATCCATCCACAATTCGAAAAAACTTCACGAAATTGCCAATCACATAAGCTGAGATCAAATCCATAATTACTTGGTATTGTTCTTCTAATAATGATTTATGTTTGTAGAGTACTTCAACAATGTCAGAACGATGTAATGAGTACAATATGTATGTTATCATGGTCTGAAAAGTCATTTTATTAAAAAATTAAAAAAAACCAGATTATTTTTATATTTTTAAGCTTTTATTTAAATTTTAAATCCACTGCACGGTGCAAAGAATAAGACAATGGTCTGCACAGTGCAAAAAAATAACGAAAAGAGGCTTGCACTGTGCAGAAAAAAAAAGAAAAAAGGCTTGCACAGTGCAAAACTATTTTACAATGAAAAACCGTATAATAATAAAAAAAATTTCAATTTTTATTATAAATCAATGTTTTAAAACTGACCTCTTTCGAATTATGTTTGGCGGCGTACCATCGTTCCAATGTCTCATTGAGTTCTTGTTGATGATGAACAGCCACGTACGTTGATGTTTTCAGCTTTTCGGATCTAAAATGTATTATTAATCTACGTCTTTAAAAAATGGTAAAGAACTTTCTTTACAAAACGAGAAATAGCAAAAACTATTTTTACAAAACAGAAAATGGCAAGAACTTTCTTTACAGACTAAAAAACGGAAAGAAATTTCATTACGGAACTTAAAGTGGCAATAACTTTCTTTATAAAACAGAAAATGGCAAGAACTTACTTTACAGCCTCAAAAATTGTAAAAAACGTACCTATACCCAGAAATCAAGTAAAATTTGATAATGGCTTCATAAATTTCACCGGCTTTTTGGTCCTTATGCTTGTTTTGCACTATAATATCTTGTCGTATCGCTCTCATACGGTCGTTGATGTACTCGTATACCAAAGACCATTGATGATCTTGGTTATATTGGGATGCTAGCTTTTGGAGGTACTTTATCTACAATATTTATGATTAATTTGGTGTAATATTGCAAGAACTTTCTTTACAAAGCAAAAAATGGCAAAAACTTTGCTTCCAGAACATAAAACGGCAAGAACTTTCTTTAAAAATTGCAAAATAGCAAGAACTTTCTTTACAAAGCATAAAATAGCAAAAACTTTCTTTACAAACCACAAAGTTGCAAAAACTGTCTTCCCGCCCATCCCTCCTTCCCTAATCATTACCCTACTGTAACAAAAAAAAATCAACTTACAGTATCAAAACAAGCTTCCAAAGTCCGCACTTGACTAAAGTCAATCTGCTTACTCGCAGCTGGTCTCGAGTAGCTTTTACAGATATTATCCTTGACTGGTACCCTTTTTAAGGCATAGATCTTTCCAAATGGATTTTCCGTTTCCAAGGGGTGTAACAGGCCGTTTTTCCAACGAAAATTGAGCTCTTTCTCCGGACATTTGGTTTTACAGCCGGCTGTGGGCATTCCTTAATATAAAGTTTAATACTGAAGTGACATCGTCGTTTATAATTAAGTATTGTCGCTTATTAAGGCGATTTTTCAGCCGAAAATACGGCAAGACTTTTTTACTGAGCTTATATGCCATTACTTTTGAGTAAAACGGGAGTTTTACTAACATTTTTGGTAAAATACAACTGAAAGACCTTATGAAATAATAGCTTTTTCAATTTTAATACCAAAACTTTAAAAATTGGCAAAAAAGCCTTGTCGTTTTTTACTAAGTTTCTCAGCAGAAAAAACGACAAGACTTTTTTATTGGGCTTATATGCCATTTATATGAAGTGAAACTGCATTTCTGTAAAATATTAGGTGTAATACTCGACTATGACAACTTAATTATACTTGCTTTCTTTTGATTTCATACCAAAATTGTTATAAAATAACATTTTTCCCCGTTTATAAGCCAAACAATACCCATAACCTTCCTTTATACAGCTCAAAATTGCTTGTTATAAGACTATCTGCCACTTTTCTATACAATAATACCAATCTAAACATTATACACCAAGTATCCTTCTAGAAACAAGCTTTAAATCAAGTATCGCTCCGAGAATAAGCCCTATATTAAGTATCTTTTCAAGAACAAGTCTAAATTAAGAAATCAAGTACCTCTCCAAGAACAAACTCCAAATCGAAACAAAGCCAAACGTTTAGCAAATATATTTAATGACAAACTGAGAAAAAATGTAAACAAAAATATACATAACCCAACCCCGTTTATACAATTTATATTTTACATCACTGGGTGATGTGGTCGGGTTCCAGGCCTTCGTCGTACCGCCTCCAGATCTTGTGAAACAACGTTTCCATGTCCGAGCAGTACTGCCGGACATTGAAGAGGGTGGAGGTGGTTCGGGCCTTCCATACCTTGGTCCTTATTTCGGCTAGGCTAAAAAAAAAGGTGAATTAGTTTAAAAATATATTGAAAAATGAATTTCGTACCTAAAATTTTAAAAAAATCACATTTTTTGGTTAAAAACATAACTTTTTGGTCAAAAATGTATGTTTTCATACCTAAAACTATAAGATTATACGCTAAAATACATTTAAATATCAAAAAATCATTGAAATACGCTTCAAAAAGCTTAAAATCCTCTAAAAATCAATATTTTCTCCGTGCAAAACCTCAAGTTTAATGAATTACACCCTGCAACCCCAATAACTTAACTCTTCACCCTATTAAAACCCTTAAAATTTCCAAAACTTACTACTCTTTTTCATTTCCTAGCCTTACAGCCTTGTTGACGTATTCGTCGCGGCTTTTGGCGACGAGTTCGGGGCAGCCGAGGGCTTCTAACTGACTTGAAGCCACTCTTGACGCCAAAGTTTCCACTGAAAATTAAAAAGATTATTAAAATAGGTACTAGAATTTACTTTATAAAGAAAGTTTTCGCCATTTTGTGTTTTGTAAAGAAAGTTCTTGCCATTTTTTGTTTTTTAAAGAAAGTTTTTGCCATTTTTTCTAAAACAGTTTTCAAAAAATATCGAAAAATCATTAAATTAAGTAACAAAAAATTTAGAAAACCGACCGTTTTAAAAAAAAATTAACTCAAAAATGCAAAAACTTTCTTTCCAAATCAAACCTTATCAAAACCCCTGCCCAAGCCCAACGGATCTTACAACCCCTGCCCAAAACCAACAAATTTTAAAAAACCCTACCCAACAACTTTCAAAAATCCCACCCAAGTCTAAAAAATTTTAAAACCCACGCCCAAGCCCCGCACATTTAAACCCCATCCCAATCCCTTACATGGCATCGTGATCATAGGTGTTCCAGTCCACAGTATGTCCATGCCTGTTGTGTGGCCATTACAGAGTGGTGTGTCCAGACAAACATCGGCCAATTGTCCTCGCCTCACGTGTTCTTCTTTGGCCGCCACATTCGAGAAGATGACCTTCGATGCGGGTAGGCCTCGTTCCATGATAAACTTGAGCACGTTAGCTTCGCCGTGAATTGGGAACCGTAACAACCATAGGACTGAATTCGGTACCTTTTGCAGTATTTCGCACCACATTTCCAGAGTGTGGGGGTCGATTTTGTAGAGTTGGTTGAAGTTACAGTACACGATGGCGTCCTCTGGTAGGCCGTACTGTTGTCGTGACGTGACAATGATGGTTTTTGGGACTTCTTCGCCTGTCGCGGCTTTAACGTGGGTTTGGTTCAGGGTTGTGAGGCCGTTTTGAATTGGTACACCTTCTACTGAGGCCGCTATCATGCCGGTACCAATCATTTGTTTGACTGGGTCTGTTGTTGGGACTTCGACGACTGGTAGGACGACTTCAGTTCGTTTCACTTCCTTTTCTGGGCCGTGAGAGACCTCGGTTTCGCGAACTAGTGGCTTTACACCCGTCTTGTCGAGCAGTGGTTGAAGGTTTGTGGCATTGACGACGGTTACTGTATCTCGGGGCTCTGCTGATTCTGTTTGGCGTTGCTCCTGAAAGGGCAATGTTAATATAGGGCTTTTTAGTGATTCTAGCTTATAATTTCAAAAAAAAATTCCCTTCCGATGCTATACCAATTCAAATTCTTTTAAAAATTTCAAATTTTTTTTTTAATTTTCAAAGTTAAAAAACCAAATTTAAATAAAAATAAACAAAAATCCGTATTTTACCTTCAAAATGACCCGTTCCGTGAGATGCTTGAGCATTTGAGCGTGATCGCCGACGAAGAACGTGTGTGGCATGTAGGCCAGCTTCTCCGAATAAGCGTAGGCCAACTCCATTGGTGAGGTCGTAACGTCGGTGATGATGTAGTCCATGAATGGGGCTCCAGATGTGCCTGGATAGCCTAGCCACATTACCTGAAAATGTTAAAAAATCATTTTATGACCTAAAAATAAATTTTACCCCTCCAACAAAAAATTCAAAAATTTACCCTGCCCATCCAAAATTTTAATGTAAATATTCCCATTGCCTTTTAAAATGCAGCGTAGATCTCAATTTTGAGTTTCCCCACCCTTAAGAGTTCAGATTTTACCTCTCACGCAAAAAAAAAATATCCACCAAAATTACCCCACCCAGGTAAAAAAAATGATTTTTAGACTGAATTGTTAATTTTCATCACCCAAAAATGTCAAATTTTACCGTTCCCACCTCAAAAATCGAAATATCCACCCCCAAAAAAATTAAAAATTTACCACACCCGGCTTGAAAAATTTTCTCAGAACCGACAACTTATCCATGTTCATCCCCCTTAATGCTAAAAATAAACATCCCCCTCCCCCAAACACCCACGGCCGCTAAAAATAACCCTCAAACCACACAAGCCCTTACCTGAACAGGAGCCGGCCTCAACGCAAATATTTCATTCCTCGCTCCTTTCGTGTATCCATTCATATTCACTAGGATATGAATTCCATCTTGGTTGATCTTATCGGCCGCTGCCCCATTACATGGATATAAAGTTAGGTCGACGAAATGTTCCGATTCATTCATAATCTTCGATCGGAACGTTGTGCCATCGTTCGGAGACAGTGCGTAGCAGAAGATTTCCACTCGCTCGCGGTTGTGGAAGCCTGGCACGGATTGCATTAGATGCGAGGTGGGGTGGTTCCCAAAGTCCGAACTGACATAGCCAATCTTCAGTCTCTCGCCTGGCTGAATCTTCTTGTAGCTGTAGGGAGGCTTGTGTAGAACCGAGATCTTCTCGATGCATAGCTGTGCGTGCTTCGCGGCTATGGCCATTCGTTGGGCATGTGTTAGGGGGTATAACATGCTGTGGTGGGGATGAACACTTGGTAATCGTCGACCTTTCAGCTGGGTATCGATGATCTGGACCAGCTTCTCCATTCGGTAGCTGTAGTCGGTCCATTCACAAGTAATTTGATAACAATGGATCAGATTACAGTAAGCATCAGGGAAGTCGGGCTTCAGTCTTAATGCCATTTTGTATGAACTTATCGCATCCGGAACGTTCCCACCGTCCTTGTGGATCGACGCCAAGTTGTTGTGGGCATCAGCGAAGCCTGGGTTGATCTGAATCGCTCTAGCATAACATTGTAGAGCTCCATGGACATCGCCCATCTCTTTTAGGGTGTTACCCATGTTACTGTAGGCATCTGCGAAGGTCGGAGCGATTCTTATGGCTTCTTGGTAGTGTTCTATAGCTTTTTGGAGTTGACCTTGTTGTTGAAGGATTGAGGCCAGATTCGAGTGGGCGGCTGCGAATTCTGGATGATTCTGGAAGGGCATGATTAATTTTTTTTCTTATAGATAACATTTTTTAAGTTTGTAAATTAAAAATTGTTAAAAAAACAAAAAAAACTTTTTTGTTACCTAAAAACCAAAAAAATCGCAAAAATTGCAAAAACTTTCAAAGAAATGACAACAAAATCCTCTACACCTCCCTTTTTGTTCCCTAAAAACCAAAAACAATTAAACAAATCTTACTTTCAGCGCCTGTAGATACAATTCCATAGCTTCTTCCACCTTTCCTTGCTCTCTCTTAATATTGGCCAGATTATTCTGTGAATCAGCGTGTGTTGGACACAACTGTAGAGCTGTGTTGTAGGCCTGAACCGCTTCATCTACTCGTCCTCGTTCTTTGTAGGCATTCGCCAAGTTACAATAGGCATCGGGGAAGTTGGGCTGAAGCTCGATCGCTCGTTTGTACTCTTCTATGGCCAGGTCTACGTTACTGAAATTGAAAAAAATGTCGTTTTTATGTCATATATTGTTTTAGAAAGACAGAAATAGCAATAACTTTGTTTACAACACACAAAATAGCAAGAACTTTCTTTACAACACATAAAACGGCAAAAACTTTCTTTACAAAACAAAAAATAGCAGAAACTTTCTTTACAACACACAAAAGCGACAAAAACTTTGTTTACAAACCGACGAAACACAAAAACTTTCTTTCCAAGTCCGAGAAATACAAGGATTTTCCTTTTCACACTCCAAAAGACACAAAACCGCTCTTTCCAATTCCACAAAAGTGCCAAAACTTTCTTTCCAACAATGTGAAAACGGTGGGCTAGGTCCAAAAAACGCCACAACCTTACATGACAACAGTTAGACAATGGAATTGTGAGTACAATATTGATGTATTAAAAGGTTTTTGTTTTTTGCACAGTGCAGATTATATAAATTTATGTTTCGCACAGTGGATTTTTAAAATTTAAATTATTGCAGTAAATTCAAAAAATTGGATTTTTGAACATGGGAAAATTTAGGAATGCCATTTTTTATACAGTGTATGTCAAAAAAATAATTTTTTAAACATAACAAGTTTAAAAAATTAAAATTTTTATTTTTGCACGGTGCAATCAATAAAATTAATTTCTTTGCACGATGCATTTCACAAAACCCCTTTTTTGCACAGTGCAAAACCCAAAAACCTTTAAAACTGAAAAAACCAACTCACATCAACCAAAACAGACTAAAAATATAAAAAATCTTACCCTTGTTCATAGTATACACAAGCCAGATTGCCATGTACAATAGCATGATTCGGTGACAACGCCAATGCCCTCAAGTACGCTGAAGCCGCCCTGTCAAAGATTCTAGCCTCTTTTAGCACATTTCCAAGGTTTATTAGAGCATCGAGGAAATTTGGGTCTAATGTGATGGCTTTTTCGAAATGATGAATAGCTAACCAAAGCTCGTTTTGAGCATTAAACACACATCCTAGATTGGACCATGCTACTGCGAACTGAGGTTGGGTTTCAATGGCTTTTAAGTAACACACCTGAAAAAAGGACAAATGAAATTAGTCGAAAATTGAGAAAAAGATCATAAAATCGAAGAAATTCTGATCAATAACAATATATCCATGCTCACCACCAAAAAACAGCCCCTAAAACAACAAAAACAGAGGCAAAACATCACCTTAGCCTCTTCAAACTTTCCCATTGCCTTAAACAAGTTTCCAAGATCATTCCTAACACAATACAAGTCAGGATTATATTGTAATGCACTCAAATAAGCGTTGGCCGCGTGTTCAAAATCGCCAGTTTGAACCAATGCTGCGGCCAAATTAATATAACCATCGATAAAGTCGGGCTTCAGTCGAATCGCATGTCTGTAATTGTCCAATGCTGCACTCATTTCACCAATCTCTTTATAAATATTTCCAATATTACTATAGGCTTCAGCACAATTTGGGTTTATCCTCGTCGCCATCGTAGAATATCGAAGAGATCTGGAAAGTAAATGACGGGTTATAAATTTATTTATGTTTTGAATAATCTCTGTTCTTAAACCGCACAAAAAAGCTAAAAAAGTTTTAAAAACGCACAAAAAACTAAAAAAAGCTAGCATTCTCTAAAATCTACTACAGTATAGACATAAAAAACCTCATATACCTACAAAATCATTAAAAAACCGAAAGATTTAAAACAAAACTTAAAGTATATACTCTTTTCTTCAATATAAACCTAAAAGTCAGCTACATCATCTATAACCTACATCAAAATATCAAGTTTAACATCAACAGCCTAAAACAATATCACCCTAAAATAAACTAGCTTTTTTTGATCAATAAGCAAGAAAACAGTATTATTACACTATAGCCTTGCTATTACAACCAACTTCATTGCCCTTTTGAAATTTTACCCTAAGATTTAAAAAAAATGGTTCATTAGGTCTACTATAATATCGGCTGCTTTATGGTAGATTTTGTAACTCAAGCCCTGTAATTATTAATAAAAACTTTAAAAAAAGTTCTTTTAAATTATAAACTATATTTTTAAAACAAAATTGTCTAATAACTCGTTTGTTTTGATATCAAAACAATTTTCCCCATTAAAAATAAGTAATGTGTGATATACTTTAATGTGATGCAAGTAATTAAAACAAGAAAAACTTAAATTTTTTAATGTAAAAAGATAAAAAGTAGCCTGATATTTAATTACAAAACACATAACCTCGTATTTTACACTTTTAAAAAAGTTATAGACGATGTTATTCCACATACTCCCTAAAAACCAAAAAAAATCATAAAACCCTTACTTTTCAAAGTCCTTCAACTGAAAGTAAATAGATGAGATCAATAACATGGCGCCCAAGTTCTGTGAATCCTCTTCCAGCAACTGTAGACATAGTCGTTCAGCTTCTGCATAGTTTCCCAGCTGATAAAACCGATGTGCCGAGTCTGAAATCGATCCGAAATTGAGCGAAGACGGCGGACTCGAAAATGTTTTCCTTATTGCCTGTTCCAGAGAAATCAGTGGCAATGTCATTTTTATTCTGTCCCATTAGCCAATATATATGTTTCAATAAATATATACGGCTTTTGTCCTGCTCCAGGCGTGTTTTTGGACAAAAACAAGCTCGGATATTTACAAAAATTTGTTTTTGCGGCGAAACGCCAAAGAATTTATAACGCGCGACAGTGCAGCCAGTTTGGAGGGAAATTCAAAACAATATGAGTTACAAAAACAAAAAACTGTTTAAAAATTGCTTTTCACATTGTTTAGGTTATAATAGAATCAAAGTACACAAAAATCTGCGATTAACATATCAAGGAGCTACAATTTCGCGTCGAACATCAAAAACCAAGGAAAGTTTGATGGTTAACATAAGGAATCGCTTTAGAACTTGGTGGTAAATACTTTTTATGACCTAATGTTCTTGTAAACTAATAGAAAACAGATTAAGCATTATAGCAAAAGTAAAACTAGCTTATGTTTCTTCAAAATTATGAAAAAACTTGAAAAAAAAGTTGAAAACCATAAAAAATCTAATGGTGAATATAAGAAACAGCTCAGAAATCATAAACAAATTGTTGCAAAAGTTGCAATTTTTGAGTAGAAGGTAAAAAATGGATTATCCTTTTATGCTAACATCAAAAATTGTTAAAAATTTAGCAATAAAGGCTAAAAATTTAGTGAAAACCATCAAACATAGCATCAAATTGATGGTGAACATCGGAAAATCGCCAGAACTTGAGTAAAATACGAAAACTTATTTATTGATGATTATAAAGACGGGCCAATAAAATAATAAAACTATAAAAATCCCCACCTTTTAGGCTGATTCCAGTATGTCCACCGGCCGAAACGATGGCTTGAGCCGCTTGTGTCACGGCATTCTGTAGCTGTGCCGTCGTGGCGTTGTTTCCCATTAGAACAGCGGCGGCTACCGCTGACGGTGTGACATTTTGTTGCCCTAGACTATTGGCCAGATTTGCGGCATTAAGGCTAGCTGGATTTAGGCCTAATTGTTGTAGGTTTTGTAGGTTTAGCATTGAAGAAACCGCCGCGGCTGCTAGTTGATTTTGTTGATTTTGGGCCGATAATTGGCCTGCTGATTGGTTCGCTAAATTGATGGAATTTTGTGGTACTATTTGATTTTGTGGTACCAGTTGACCACTTTGTACCATCTGGCTTTGTGGTACTATTTGATTAGGTTGTATCATCTGATTAGGGACTAATTGATTAGGCTGTATCATTTGATTTGGTACCACTTGTCCCGGCACCAATGGGTTGGTCGATACCACTGATTGAGGTTTCTGTGCTGCGATTAAATTACGGTAAATATTGGAATTCATAGAATTGTTCTGGACATCTTGTAATAGACCCCCAATTTGTTGATTAATGTTCATTGGCTGGACTGATGCCTGGGCCGAGCCAGCTGGAATAAGTTGCTGAAGTTGTGGAAAGCCACTGGCGTTCGGCAGAACTACTTGCTGAAAAAGTGTCATTTATGAAAACTTGTAAACAAAGTTTTTGCTATTTTTTGGTTTGTGAACAAAGTTCTTGCCATTTTTCGTTTTTTAAAGAAACTTCTTGCAATTTTATGTTTTGTAAATAAAGTTTTTGCTGTCATGGTTTGTAAAGAAAGTTTTAGCGATTTTATCTAATATATTAACGTAGTTTGCGCAGCCTGCGGAGGCTGGTTATACAAAAAATTTCAAGATTTACTTAAAAATTTCTAAAAATTACCTAAAAACCCCTAGAAATAATAAAAATTTCAAAAAACTGACCTTCGGAAGCCCGTTCATCCGTAAGGCTTGTTGTTGTAGTTGATCCATCCCCAACTACCTTAATATACCTCCTATATATACCTCCAAGGCTTATAAAAGTCGAAAGAATAAACGTTCACAGTGAATTTTACTCTGTATTCTTCCACAGTATATTTTACGTATATCTGTGCCTAAAACAGTAAACCCGAACACCGTATTTATATTGACAGTTGAGGTTTTTCGGCCGAATTCAACCCATGTAACTTCGATTACTGTGGAGTAGGACTGAATTACTGCGCAGTAAAGTTATTAATGTGATTGTACTATAATTTCTAATGTGAAGATACGAAGTAGAAGGTATGGTACGATGAGTTACGGATGAAGGCGGGTTTGAGAAAGAGCGGATATCTGGAAATATTCATGGTAAAATACGTTGCGCTGATAATACAGTTAAAAAATGGCACGAATGGGATAAAAAAACACGAAAAATTAGCAAAAACTTTCTTTACAAAACAAAAAACGGCAAGGACTTTCTTTACAAGACAAAAAATGGCAAGAACTTTCTTTACAAACCATAAATAGCAAGAACTTTCTTTACAAAACATAAAATAGCAAGAACTTTCCTTACAAAAAATGGCAAGATATTTCTAAAACAAAAAATAGCAAAAACTTTCTTTACAAAACAAAAAATGGCAAGAACTTTCTTTACAAACAAAATATGGCAAGAACTTTCTTTACAAACAAAATATGGCAAGAACTTTCCTTACAAAAAATGGCAAGATATTTCTTTACAAAACAATAATGCCAAAAACTTTGTTTACAAAACTCGAAAAGTATGACAAATCAAGCGTCCGATGACTAAAAATAGTGATAACCGAGTTGACCTCAATTCTAATAAGTAGTCGCTTTTCAAATCGAAAGTAACAGATTCATTCCTCAACCAATTCTGCGTCGTTTCTTTTTCATCACCAAGGTCATTGGGGATACCGAATTACATAAATCTTGGGGGTCGACGATTAAATGGCAATATGTTTGTATAATTCGAGTTTTGGCGATAGTAAAGAAAGTTCTTGCCATTTCTTGTTTTGTAAAGAAAGTTCTTGCCATTTCTTGTTTTGTAAAGAAAGTTCTTGCTTTTTTGTTTTGTAAAGAAAGTTCTTGCCATTTTAATAAAAAACCTTATTTTTTGTTGTGCAGCCTGCAGGGGAGAAGTTATACGATGATTTGAATTTTTTTGTTCTAAGGCTTCGTAAAAAAAGTCCTTGCCATTTCTTGTTTTGTAAAGAAAGTTCTTGCCTGTTGATTTATCAAGGTCAAATTTTTACATATCTTCAAATTTAAAAAAAATTTTAACCCCTCCCCACCCCAACCGCAAATTTTTAAAAAAACGTATGCCATTCCTCAAAAATAAGCTTCCGAGCTTTAGGCTTTTTTTTTAATTAAATTCTCTTACAGAATAACCAGTGTTTTGCCGGACCGGACCCAAAAACCTGCGGACCCGGACCGAAGAAAAAGTTCCGGACCGGTCCGGAAGAAATTTTTTTTTTTATTTTAAGAAAACTGTTTTAAAAATTGCAAATAAAATGTATTTTTAAGAGTTTTTAAGCAAAAAAGAAAGCAGTTTTAGCGATCCTTGCTTTTTTTTAAAAATTAAAAAAAATTTTTTTTGCGGACCGGACCGGACCCAAAAAATCGCCGGACCGGACCGGTGAAAAACGCTTCGGACCGGTCCGGGCAAAACACTGAGAATAACTATTGCATGAAGACAAAATTTTAATCAAACGCTGCTTTTTGGTTTTGTTTTCGACTACTGTTTATTATTTTGTCTAGTAATATTTGCGAAAGTTAAATTTAAAAAAGGTATAAACTATGATATAATGATGCATCATGATGGGACCAGCAGGACAAATGACGATACCAAAAGCAAAAAAAAATTATGATTGCGCAGTGTAAAAGTCCGCTTTTAAATTACAATGTAAAGAAAGTTCTTGCAATTTATTGTTTTGTATATAAAGTTCTTGCCATTTTTTGATTTGTAAAGAAAGTTCTTGCCATTTTTAGTTTTGTAAAGAAAGTTACTGCCATTCTTGATTCTAATTTTACGTCAAAAACAAAAAATTTTATGTACACTTGACCCTATCATAATGTATACTTATAACAGTACGTACTCTTACATTTTCGTGTGTTATGCAAACACTTTTCTTTCACAGTTTTACCTCACAACCGTCAGTTTAAATTAATATTTCAGAACAAAACATGGCATTAAAGAGAGAACAAAAAGCGAGAATAAATATATACATATTCAGAACATCAGAGATTAACTTTTCAGATAGAAATGGACCCGAAAAAGTTGGTAGGTTGGCTCTACATTATGTTTATTAAATGAAGTTCGAAAAAATTTACGTTTTTGCCATTTTTTACTTTGTAAAGAAAGTTCTTGCTATTTTTTAATCTGTAAAGAATGTTCTTGAAATTTTTTGTTCTGTAAAGGAAGTTATTGCCAATGTTTGAGTTGCAAAGAAAGTTTTTGTCATTTTATGTTTTGTAAAGAAAGTTATTGCAATTTTCCATAACATTATAAAATCAAGTAAAAATACATATTTTACTGTTTACAATAGAACATATTGCATTATATAAAACTTCAAAGATCAATCATCCAAAAGGAAGATAGAACAATAATAAACAGTCGCACTAAAAAGAGCACACATCAGGCACTAAACAAAATACAGCTACTTTATTACCCTACCCTACCCTACCTTACCCTACCCTACTCTTAAAATTAATATTATAAAAGATTCAATAAGTTAGAAAAAAATAGCTCAATGCTAGATTTTTTAAAACTACCTATTCCCAAAAATAAAAAAATATATTTAAAAAAAATTAAATAAAAGAAATAGTTATTAAACTTTCGATGAAAGCTCAATTATCGAACCATGCTCAATTTCAAATCCTCAAACATGTCCTACCCATGCACGAGTTCAAAAGCCCAAAAATACCCTGTTCATTCCCAGTTCGAAAGCTTAAAAATATTTTTCCCATGCCCAATTTCGGAATCCCAAAAAAATCCTGCCCATTCCTAACTTGAAAAACTTAAAAGTATCATGCCCATGCTTAATTCAAATGCCCAAAAACATGCATGCGGTCCATGCCAAATTCAAAATTTAAAAATTTCTACTCTTGCTTAACTTTTAAATGTGTCTGCCAAACATAAAAAGGTCTTAGCGTTCACCCTAACCAAACGAAAAAAGACTGTTCCTCCCTTAATATAAAAACTATCTTAACATTCACCCCAGCCGAATAAAAAATTGGCCGTCCCCCCTTTCCCTTCCACCCCCCCCTGCTTAAATTTTAAAATTTGCGCCTCTCATAGAGTAGAGGCTTGGGTGGAGCGCGGAGAGAAAAAGCCCCAACAAAAAGTGTTTTTTTGTGATTGGGAGTCGGAAAAATATTTAAAAATCCCCTCGTCGGCTTCTCTGGCCCGTGTTGTGTTTACACGTGCGTGCAATGGCGAGAGAGCAGGCAATGTCCACACCCGCGCACGCTATTTTCACCACGCCCTTTTTTCCGCGCCCACTCTCTGTTAATTGCCATTCTATTTGTGATGCCTCTCACTCTCTCTGCCGTCTCTCGAATATAGTACTATTTCTCATTCGCTGGAAGTCTCCAGAAACTACAGTACTATTTCCAAAAATGTTACAGTATCTACCGCTTTTTCCGACTAGCGATATATTGTTTTTGTATGACTTTCTATGCCCAATCTCATCGTTTCACGTTGTCTATGACAAAAGCAAACGGCTCCTTTTACGCGCCACAAAGTTTCTCTAACCGTCTATCGGTTCAGCGTACTATTTCTTGGCATTTGGATTTCTCTAGAGATCTTTGAATTTTTAGTTTTTTCGGTTTGGAAAGAAAGTTTTTTCGGCTTGGAAAGAAAGTTTTTGCTGTTTTTTGTTAAAAAATATACTTTTTCGCTGGGCAGGCTGCGGATGACAAGTTATACGAAAAATATTTTTTTTTGTTTTGGAAAGAAAGTTCTCACCATTTTTTGTTTTGTAAAAAAAGTTCTTGCAATTTTTTGTTTTGTAAAGAAAGTTCTTGTCATTTTTTACTTTGTAAGGAAAGTTCTTGCCATTTTTTGTTTTGTAAAGAAAGTTCTTGACATTTTTTCGATCTGTAAACAAAGTTTTAATTATTTTTTTCAAAAATGAAATTTTTTACTGACTCACCCATCCCTCCCCCCCCCCTCTAATTTCCCCACTCTTTCTCCTTTTCTCTAACTCCCTCCACATTCCAAACACTCTCTCTCAATTGGTTGTTTTATTGTCGAAAATTTGATATTTTTCTTTTCAGTTTTTACGCTTGGTTTTTGAACAACTAAAACTTGCTTTCTCTACCCGTCTCTTCAAATTTAACAGTGTTTTTACGAAATTGTATGCCCTTCTAAGTCGAGTATAATAAAAAAAGTAATGTAATTTGGAGGTTATCTTTCGTTTTATCGTTCAGGAATTAAGTTTTGCTACTTGGAAATGAAATTCATGCCTTTTTCATACCCTAGCCTACCGTTCCGTACCGTATCGTACCCTACCCTATCTTACCCTAAACTACCCTACCCTATCTTACCCTACCCTACCCTAATTTTAAAAAATCTGCCCTATAATTTGAAACTCCACCCCTCTTTTTACAAATTAACCCTGCTTTACAACTTCCTAATCATCCCTGCTCTCGCTCCAAAGCTAAAGATAACCCTACTGGTAAAACTTTACAGTACTTTACCCTAACCTGAAAAAGCTCGGCCCTTTGCTTAACATGCTTCACCCTATGTCTACCATGCTCTACTCTGCCTTGCTTTACTATACCTTACCCACCCTGTTTCTACTCTGTCCTACTTTTCCTTACTTTACAGTACATCACTTTGTTTTACCTTGTCCTTTACTGTACCTTAATTCAAGTTTCCTACCCTGTTTTACCTTATCCGGCCTTTTGCTAGCTTACCATACCTTTATATTGCTTTAAGTATTATATAATAGCACCAAAATTAGTCCTACTTACATCAACTTGCTTCGTATTTT